GCAACCTCCGCCTCCTGGGTTCAGGCAATTCTCCTGCCTCAGCCTCCTGAGTAGCTGGGACTACAGGCACGCACCACCATGCCCAGCTAATTTTTTTTTTTTTTTGTATTTTTAGTAGAGACGGGGTTTCACCATGTTGACCAGGATGGTCTCGATCTCTTGACCTCGTGATCCACCTGCCTCGGCCTCCCAAAGTGCTGGGATTACAGGCTTGAGCCACCGCGCCCGGCAAACATATTTTAAAGCTATTTTAAAATCACTCTCATAGAGGTCACTTGTGCATTTGCTTCTATGTATTTTCTACTGAGTATGGTATGGACCACATTTTTTTTTCCATCACGGAAGTTGAGTCAAAAGGATCACATTTTTCTTTGCGTACTTAATATTTATTATGTACCGAGCTTTGGGGATATGCTGTGATGACTCTGAAATGTTTTCTTCTTCTTTTTTTGAGACGGAGTTTCACTCTTGTTACCCAGGCTGGAGTGCAATGGCGCGATCTCGGCTCACCGCAACCTCCGCCTCCTGGGTTCAGGCAATTCTCCTGCCTCAGCCTCCTGAGTAGCTGGGATTACAGGCACGCGCCACCATGCCCAGCTGATTTTTTGTATTTGTAGTAGAGACGGGGTTTCACCATGTTGGCCAGGATGGTCTCGATCTCTTGACTTCGTGATCCACCCGCCTTGGCCTCCCAAAGTGCTGGGATTACAGGCTTGAGCCACTGCGCCCGGCCTGAAATGTTTTCTTCTTAAAAATATTGTGTTTTGTTCTAGTTTAAAATTACTAATGGATGACTTTGATGCTGTGAGATTTGATTTTAAGCTTTGTTACAGTGAGTTTCTTTCCATTTTGTCCTTAGTACTAAAGCACAGCCTTTTGTTCTTGGATGCTTTAATTCTTCCTTAAGGAATGGTATTTTCGGGGTTCAATGTGAAACACCAAGTATTTACTCAGTCCTTTTTTTTTCTTGAGATGGAGTCTTGCTCTGTCTCCAGACTGGAGTGCAGTGGTGTAGTCTCGGCTCATTGCCACCTCCAACTCCTGGGTTCAAGTGATCCTTCTGCCTCAGCCTCCTGAGTAGCTGGGACTACAGGCATGTGCCACCACACCCGGCTAATTTTTGTATTTTTAGTAGAGACAGGTTTCCCCATATTAGCCAGGATGGTCTCGATCTCTTGACCTTGTGATCCGCCCACCTCGGCCTCCAAAAGTGCTGGGATTACGGGCATGAGACACCACGCCGTTTACTGTCCTTCTTAGTGGAATTTGAATTTCAAACTGTTTGTCGTTGAGCAGCTGCAATCTCTGCTGAATTCTTTAGACTTTAACTTGCTTTCTGCTGGGTTCTTTTAAATAATCACACTGCACAAGCACAATTTGGGAATCCACCAAGGATTTGGAAGGAATATGTAGGCAGATTTTAGGGCTTACTCTCTGAGGCATTCTCCTTCCCAAAATTTCTCTTCTAATTTTCAGGTGTTCTAGAAGTCCCAAATGACTCCTCAGCCCATCAAGACTACCACATTCGACTTGAATTCTATCCCCAAGTAAACTGCACAAACTGGAATTACCCTATGGGTAAAAGCTAGTTAAGGTGACTCTCTTATTTTTTGAGACATGGTCTCCGTAACCTGGGCTGGAGTGCAGTGGTGTGATTTTGGCTCATTGCAGCCTCCTCCTCCTGGGCTCAAGCAATCCTCCAACCTCAGCCTCCTGAGTAGCTGGGACTATAGGCATGGGCCACCAAACCTGGCTAATTTTTAGGTATTTTTTTCCCCCTCTTCAGAAAACAGGTCTCCCTATATCCCCTGGCCTGGTCTTGAATTCCTGGGCATAAGTGATTCTCCCATATTGGCCTCCCAAAGTGCTGGGTTTACAGGCATGAGCCACCACACCCAGCTGGAATCTTTTCCAATATAGGACTCTGCAGTTTCTGCCTTGTTTTGATTGCTCTGCAAAGCCGCCTAATTATTGCTTTCTATATTTTGTTAAGAGTTTATAACTGTTACTGACAAGAGTTAGTCCTATACACGCACTCCTTCATTATCAGACTGCAACCCCTAAAACATCAAAAAGTTTTAAAGTAAAAAAGTAAAGGCAAAATAAAGTGTATCATTTATTTCTAATACATTAGGATAAAACCCCACTTTATGCAGCTGTACCCTTTAATTCATTTCTTCTGAAGAAAAGTACAAAAGACCAGACTAAAATTGAGACAAACATTGAAAGAAAAATCCTTTGACTCAAGTCCAAAACAAAACTGTAAATGGTTCATTTTACCAAAAGAATTAGTTTTTGTACAAAATATAAAGAATTCTACACTATAAACAAAGACTGCTATATATGTACTTCAATTAGAATTCTAGTATCTGCTTTTCCTCTAATTATTCTGGAGCACAAAGCATATTTGCAAGTCAGAAATCTAATAATCTCAATGGACAGACAATCTTAGAATAAGCATTTACCCTTAAGATACCTGGAAAGATAGTACTCATTCTTTCCCTTGGCTCAAACTCCAAAATAACAGTAAGTTTTAATTTAGTTTACAAAACTCTGCCATATTAACACGAAGAACACACTAATGCTTAATGTTTAAGCATTATCTTTTAGGAAGTAATAGAACACGGCTCAACACCGAACCTAAAAGGTCACAATCTAAGTCATTATTAATTCAGAAAACCTCAACAACTTCTATCTTTATTGAAAAAGACCAAACCAATCCCTTATGTCCTATTTTCATGGCCCTTCTATGAAAGAAACAGCTTAAAATAAAACTTGGTTAAAGTAAGTCATAGAAAATAGTTCTGTAGCACTAGCTGAACTTCAGACTTGATCAGGAAAGCAACTTCTATACAGTAATGATTTTCTGATTCAATGTTTATGATAGTATTAACCTGACTTTTATCTCTTTTAACATTTGAAATCTTTGCTATCTAAAAAGTTTTCCCAGCTGGGCGTGGTGACTCATGCCTGTAATCCCAGCACTTTGGGAGGCCAAAGTGGGTGGATCACCTGAGGTTAGGAGTTCGAGACCAGTCTAGTCTGACCAACATGGAGAAACCTCATCTCTACCAAAAATACAAAATTAGCTGGGCATGGTGGCACATGCCTGTAATCCCAATTACTGGGGAGGCTGAGGCAGGAGAATTGCCTGAACCTAGGAGGTGGAGGTTGCAGTGAGCCGTGATTGCACCACTGCATTCTAGCTTGGGCAACAAGAGCGAAACTCTGTCTCAAAAACAAACAAACAAAAAACAAAAAGAAAAACTTTCCCAAAAGAATTATAATCTTCATGATAACTTTAAAGGATACAATATATTAAAAGCTGAGCTGGAACCACAGATCTTTTAATATGATTAGTTATCCAGGTATCAATAATGTTAATCCCCTTTTAAATGAAAATAAAATGACATTTTAAAAAAACTTTGTTTTTATTTTAAAATTTCTTTTAATTATTTTAAATAAAAATTTTCCATCACTCCCTACCAATGTGGGTTTTTTTTTTTTTTTTTTTTTTGAGATGGAGTCTCGCAGTGTCACCCAGGCTGGAGTGCAGTGGCACGATCTCGGCTCACTGCAACCCCCACCTCCCAAGGTTCAAGCGATTCCCCTGCCCAGCCTCCCGAGTAGCTGGGATTATAGGCGTGTGCCACCACGCCTGACTAATATTTTGTAATTTTAGTAGAGACGGGGTTTCACCATGTTGGCCAGACTGGTCTCAAACGCCTGACCTCATGATCCACCTGTTTCGGCCTCCCAAAGATAAAATGAAATTTTATGAGCTTAACTGAAATGTCTTAATTTAGAATTTCTCAATTCTTTTCATCATATATATTTCATTACTACCTTTCAATATTAATAATTTATAAGTGATGCTGTAATGTTTGAGACCTTAAAATGATACTACCCATCACCTAAAACATGCACAGCTCTGGCTTAAAATTTTTTTTTCCACTATTTATCTCAACTCTCAATTCTGTTATTCAGGGAGTTCCAAAGTCATGATGAGAAGAGACATGATTTAACTTATGGCTACAAACACCATATGATCCTAAGAAATCATGCATCTTCTGTATTCAGACAAATCTTTAAAAAGAGTTAAGAGTAAAACTAAGAAGAATGTATGTCTTCATTATAAAGTTCTTACCTAGTAGGGACACAATTTTATTTTAATATACTCTTTTAAAACCTAAGAAATCTTTCCTAAATGAAAAATTTTTGTTACTACTACAAATATTCTTCCTACCCATGACATTTTACATAGCATCATTTAAGCACCAGAGAAAAGTTCTGTAAACAAACTTTTAACCAGTAAACTAAGGGCAAATATCTATTTGCCTTTATTACAATATTTAAAAGGCCATGATATGAGTCTCTACTCCCTACAATGACATTTTTATAATAAAAATCCAGGCATATTTATACAAACAAGAAACAGAATTACTATACATTTTGGGAGAACAAAAGGCAGATCAGACTAGAACTAGAACTTTTGAGTTAATAGAGCAAGCACAAGGAACCTAGAAAAATGTATGCCATGTATAAAATTTCAGTTTTTAAAAGTTTCATTGAAGGGATTAATAATTATCAAGAATAAAAGATGGTAGTTTCACTGGCTTATAATTATCCTGTAAACATTAGGAAAGTAATAAGCAATAAATTAGAAATGTCTTAGTTCCTAGTATTTCCCTTCTCTTGCACTGGAAACATTTTCATAGCAGTTAAAATTGGCTCTCTTAAATATCAGAATAATTCTTTCAGAAAATAAATATGATAAGGAAGAAGTTAACAGTCTACAATAGATTTCTGACAAACACATAAAAAAAAAATACTGCAGGTCACATGAGGACTGATCTACATGTTACATGACAGAGTAACTCAAACCTTCAAACCTTCTCTATTCTACCAGATTTGCTTTGTTGCTATTATATTGCTATCTAAATTGTTTGGTAGCAAGGTAATAGAAAAATAAAAGGTAAAAAGAACACAACAATTGTTTAATGTCTATAGATTTATGAAGAAGGAACTCTCAAAATAAACTTTTTCCTATTACAATTACTTAGGAAAAAAGTTTCATTTGGCACACTGAATTTATAAAAAAAAAAAAAAAAGAAAGAAAGAAAATAAATTTAAGAGTGTTTGGCATTCCAATCACCTACAGTTAAGACAACAATAGGAAAGAAAAGTAGGAGAAATTAATATTTTAAGAAAAAAACATCAGAAGACAAACAACCAAAGGTTCTTGTGTCTTCTACCATTCACTGTCTCTGGAATACTTTCATCTGCAACACACAATATATAAATGATTATTTACATTATGATTATATTGGTAAAGAAGACCAGAATCAGTTTTTGTTGTGCTCTAACTTACAATGTCCATTGGGGTAACAGTGACCATCAAGGCAAGGCCTTAAACAACAAAAAATTCCATTTGCATTGTGTATTTTGTTTAAGTTTGTTTTCTGGTTCATCTTCAAGTTTGGTGCACAAATACGTAAGACTCTGAAAAGTCCTGTAAACTTAGGCTGTTTCTGTAGCTGATGACTGTTCATTGAAGATCTTGTGTTTCTCTTTTGTTAAGTAAAATGTTCTGCAGTTTTACAAAGGTATTTCCTTAAACAGTGGTATCTCCAAAGTCCTTGTTCCAACGTATGTACGCTTCTAAAGTTTGAGGGCTGACGCTGCGTTTTATCTTTTTCAAGGATTCAGTGAAGTCAGATAATCGAATATTTCTCATCTAGATTTTTAAAAAACACATGACAATACAAATGATGAACAGGTATATAGTGGTTAACGAAATGATGGATTAAAGTAATGGTGCTGCTGTTTAATAGTTATAAAAATATGCATATGTATTCTTAGAAAATTATGTCAGCCATTTAAATATATTTTTTATGCTGACCTGCTACATAAGAACTATATTAAATGCTATACTAATATTCTTATTACTTGTGTTTAGTTTCATCGGTATAACATTTGAAAACACAGTATTTTTCCAGTATGAAAACAAAACACACTCATTATAGAAAAGTTCACAAAATAGAGACAAAGAGAAAAAAAGAATTACAATTTCACCCTCAGATATGCAACTTCCACCTCCCAGGTTCAAGCCATTCTCCTGCCTCAGCCTCCTGAGTAGCTGGGATTACAGGCGCATGCCACCATGCCCAGCTAATTTTTGTATTTTTAGTAGAGACGGGGTTTCACCATGATGGCCAGGATGGTCTCAAACTCCTAACCTCAGGTGATCTGCCCACCTCGGGCTCCCAAAATGCTGGGATTATGGACGTGAGCCACTGTGCCCCAGCCTAAAGTATGCATTTTTGTATTAATTTGGTCTGATCTTCTGACATTTTAAATAGCCTTTAGAAATATAGATTAAAACAATGCTGAGTTAATGAATATCTATATTTACACCTAAGTACTTTTAAAAGGCAAAATGGATAGGTTCAAAGAGTCCAGGAAATAGAAAAATAAAAATTTTGGCCAGATGCAGTGGCTTACACCTATAATTCCAGCACTTTGCTAGGTTGAGGCTGGTGGATTACCTGAGGTCAAGAGTTCTAGACCAGCCTAGCCAACATGGTGAAACTCTGTCTCTACTAAAAATATAAAACTCAGGTGTGGTGGCAGGTGCCTGTAATCTTAGCTACTTGGGATGCTGAGGCAGGAGAATCACTTGAACCTGGGAGGTGAAGGTTGCAGTGAGCTGAGACTGCACCATTTCACTCCAGTATGGACAATGTGTGAGACTCCCTCTCAAAAAAAAAATTTTTTTAAAAGGCAAAATGAAGTTTGGCAGAAATGACCTATGTTAAAAATCATTACTACTGTACACCTATATTTTGGCCCAAAAATAAGAAGTTGAGGAACTTTTAAAACAAAATTTCAACCTGATATTTTATCCATATTTTAAAAATTACTACTAAAAACCCAATCTATGGCTGGGTGCGGTGGCTCAAGCCTGTAATCCCAGCACTTTGGGAGGCCGAGGTGGGCGGATCACAAGGTCAAGAAATCGAGACCATCCTGGTCAACATGGTGAAACCCCGTCTCTACTAAAAATACAAAAAATTAGCTGGGCATGGTGGCACGTGCCTGTAATCCCAGCTACTCAGGAGGCTGAGGCAGGAGAATTGCCTGAACCCGGGAGGCAGAGGTTGCGGTGAGCCGAGATCGCGCCATTGCACTCCAACCTGGGTAACAAGAGCGAAACTCCGTCTCAAAAAAAAAAAAAAACAAAACAAAAAAAAACAAAAAAACCCAATCTACCTTCGAATCACCTTTGCTATCTCCATGGGCATAAAGAAAATACTTGCAACTTGTAAACTAATATGAAAAACTTTAGCCAAAAAGAAAAAAATATATAGTTAAAATATAGCCTGGTGCAGTGACTCACACCTGTAATCCCAGAACTTTGGGAGGCTGAGGCGAGTGGATCACTTGAGTCCAGGAGTTCAAGACAAGCCTGGGCAACATGGCAAAGCCTCATCTCTACAAAATATACAAAAATTAGCTGGGCGTGGTGGTGCACACTTGTAGTGTCAGCTACTAGGGAAGCTGAGGTGGGAAGATTGCTTGAGTCTGGGAGGTTGAGGCTGCAGTGAGTAATGGGCATGCCAATGCACTTCAGCTTGGGTGACAAGAATGAGACCCTGTCTCAAAAAAACAAAAACAAAAAAATACCCAACAACCTTCACTCCCCACGAAAACCCCCAAAACACTATTTGAACCCTACTTGTTTCCTGTTTAACTGTAAAACACACACTGGCTCTTCCTAAAGGCCAAAGTATAGAAGAATTATGAATATAATAAGGGTTATTTGTTATAGAGATTAAAGTTTTTGTTTTGAGACAGCATCTCACTGTCACCCAGGCTGGAGTACAGTGGCACGATTTCGGCTCACTGCAACCTCTGCCTCCTGGGTTTAAGGCAGGCATCCCCAAACTTTTTGCACAGGGGGCCAGTTCACTGTCCCTCAGACCATTGGAGGGCCGCCACATACTGTGCTCCTCTCACTGACCACCAAGGAAAGAGGTGCCCCTTCCTGAAGTGCGGCAGGGGGCCAGATAAATGGCTTCAGGGGGCCGCATGCGGCCCGCGGGCCGTAGTTTGGGGACACCTGGCTTAAGGGATCCTCCCACTTCAGCCTCCCAAGTAGCTAGGACTATAGGTGTGTGCCACCATGCCCAGCTAACTTTCTGTAATTTTTGTAGAGATGGGTTTCACCATGTTGTCCAGGCTGGTCATGAACTCCTGAGCTCAAGGGATCCAACTGCCTTGGCCTCCCAAAGTGCTGGGATTACAGGCATGAACCACCACACCTGACCAGAAATTAAGGTTTTAAAAGTTGATGATGTAATTCTCATTTAAGTGTACATTTTGGTATATGTATATATATGAAATTTATATGGTATTTTAAGGTTAGTAAGAGACTAATTACAACAGGAAAAAAAGCACTTGGTAGCTACTTCAGTTAAGGGGGGAAATATATAGCAAAGTTGTCTTATAAAAACAAAATAATAAAGGAATTAATAAAGTTAAATCAGATACCCACTATACTTAAAAAACAAAGTACCCCAATTCATAACCAACAATTTTAGTACAAACCCTTAAAAATACAGAAATTCCAAACCAATTATTTGAACTTCTACTATTATAAACTGTAGAAGATAAGTTGGGTTTTTGTTTTTTTGTTTTTTTGTTTTTTTTTTTGAGATGGAGTCTTGCTCTGTCACCCGGGCTGGAGTGTAGTGGCACGATCTCGGCTCATTGCAACTCCCACCTCCCGAGTTTAAGTGATTCTCCTGCCTCAGCCTCCCGAGTAGCTGGGACTACAGGTGCCTGCCACCACGTCTGGCTAAGTTTTGTATTTTTAGTAGATATGGGGTTTCACCATATTGACCAGGTTGGTCTCGAACTCCTGACCTTGTGATCCGCCTGCCTTGGCCTCCCAAAGTGCTGGGATTACAGGCGTGAGCCACCACGCCCAGCCAAGTTGGGTTTTCTTATCTAAATTTGTATATATTCACCGGTACCTGGCAATACACTTTGGTATTAAAGTTGCATCAAATAATGGGTATATAAAATTCCACTGTACGTTTAGAGAGCAAATTACTTGTGTTTCTTATCCCATAAATGGGAATGAAAGTCACCTTGATCTTTATAATAAAATGCCACTGTCAGTTTTATATTTTTTAAAGTTATTTATTTATTTATTTTCTGAGACGGAGTTTCGCTCTTGTTACCCAGGCTGGAGTGCAATGGCGCGATCTCGGCTCACCGCAACCTCCGTCTCCTGGGTTCAGGCAATTCTCCTGCCTCAGCCTCCTGAGTAGCTGGGATTACAGGCATGCACCACCATGCCCAGCTAATTTTTTGTATTTTTAGTAGAGACGGGGTTTCACCATGTTGACCAGGATGGTCTCGCTCTCTTGACCTCGTGATCCACCCGCCTCGGCCTCCCAAAGTGCTGGGATTGCAGGCGTGAACCACTGTACCTGACCTTAAAGTTATTTAATGGATTTTTACATAGTGTTTACTATGTGCCAGCTATTTTAAGTGCTTTATAAATATTAACTCATAAGTAAAGAATAACAGCTAAAGGTCATTATCAAATTATTAATAACAAAACTACTAGATTAAAAAGAAACAACTGAATGAAAGTATACAGTAAAACCAAAAATTGTAACAATGTAACCTGAATATATATAATTAATGGGATGGTTACAAAAGGTACCAGTAATATTCTTCCTTGTAAATCATTCAGTAGTTTTATTAAGCTTTAATTTTTAGTTTTACCATCTAAATTTTTAATATATAATGTTATGACTTTTAAAAATGGTACATACAAGCTGGGTGCAGTGGCTCACACCTGTAATCCCAGCACTTTGGGAGGCCGAGGCGGGTGGATCACCTGAGGTCGAGAGTTCGAGACCAACCTGATCAACATAGAAAATCTGCATCTCTACTAAAAATACAAAAATTAGTTGGGTGTGGTGATGCATGCCTATAATCCCAGCTACTTGGGAGGCTGAGGGTGGAGAACTGCTTGAACCCGGGAGACGGAGCTTGCAGTAACCTGAGATTGCGGCACTGCACTCCAGCCTGGGCAACAAGAGCAGCACGTCATCTCAACAACAACAATAACAACAACAAAAATGGTGGATACAATTATATTTTTATGTGTGGGATTAAAAATTTTCAAGCCTGGCATAGTGGCTCACACCTGTAACCCCAGTACGTTGGTAGGCTGAAGTGGGAGAACTGCTTGAGGCCAGGAATTTGAGACCAGCCTGGGTAACAGAGTGAGACCCCATCTCTACATGAAATTAAATAAATTATCTGAGTGTGGTGGTGCATGCCGGTAGTCCCAGCTACTTAAAAGGCTGAGGCAGGAAGATCAATTGAGCCCAGGAGTTCGAGGGTGTAGTGAGCTATGATTGCACGACTGCATTCCAGCCTGGGTGACCAAGTGAGACAGTATCCCAAAAACTAAACTAAACTAAATTAATAAGATAAAAGTTAGAAAACTAAAATCTTTCTTAAAAAGAAATTCAAGTACGATGCCTCATCTGACGTCTAAAAGCTTGGGGAAAAAAAGACTCCAAAATGTACTTGAATACACTCATTATCTATGTTAACAGTTCACTGTCAGCCTCAACAGCTGCTGAAATTAGGGAAATAAAAAACAAGTTACAAATATACAGCTGTCCCTCAGTATCTCTGGGAAATTGGTTCCAGGACCTCTATAGATAGCAAAATCCACAAATGCTTAAAGTCCCTTATATAAAATGGTGTACTATTTGCATATAACCTACACAGTCCTCCTGTATACTTAAAATCATCTCTAGATTACCTGTAATACCTAATACAATATAAATGCAATGTGAATAATAGTAGTAGTAGTAGTAGTAGTTGGTGGTGGTGGTGTTGGTGTTGGTGGTGGTGGTGTTGGTGTTGGTGGTGGTGGTGGGGTGTGTGTGTGTGTGTGTGTGTGTGTGTGTGTGTAAGACGGAATCTTGCTCTGTCACCAGGCTGGAGTGTAGTGGTGCAATCTTGGCTCACTGCAACCTCTGCCTCCCAGGTTCAAGCGATTCTCCTGCCTCACCCTCCCGAGTAGTTGGGATTACAGGCATGCACCACCATGCCCAGCTAACTTTTTTTTTATTTTTAGTAGAGATGGGGGTTTCACCATGTTGGCCAGGATGGTCTTGATCTCCTGACCTCGTGATCAGCCCAGCTCGGCCTCCCAAAGTACTGGGGATTACAGGCATGACCCACCACACCCAGCCAATAGTTTTTATACTATATTGTTTAGTGAATAATGATAAGAATAAAAGTCTGTACATGTTCAACAAGGATGCTTTTTTCCCCCCTCAAGTATTTTTGATCTGCAGTTGGTTGAATTCACAAATGCAGAATCCACACATAGGAAGGGCTGACTGTAATTCAAGCCTGATTTTAAAAGTTTGCTCACATAGTTATGACCATTCTGCAGACCCAATTTTATATCTTGCATGCAACTTTTTAAAAATGAAATGCTTCAGGCTGGGCGCGGTGGCTCACGCCTGTAATCCCAGCACTTTCAGAGGCCGAGGCGGGTGGATCACGAGGTCAAGAGATCGAGACCATCCTGGTCAACATGGTGAAACCCCGTCTCTACTAAAAATACAAAAAATTAGCTGGGCATGGTGGCGCGTGCCTGTAATCCCAGCTACTCAGGAGGCTGAGGCAGGAGAATTGCCTGAACCCAGGAGGCGGAGGTTGCGGTGAGCCGAGATCGCGCCATTGCACTCCAGCCTGGGTAACAAGAGCGAAACTCTGTCTCAAAAAAAAAAAAAAAAAAATGAAATGGTTCAGCATCTCATAAGGGGATTTTCCATATTAAGAAAAGGTAATAAATTGGTCAGGAGTTAGATCCGCCTGGCCAACCCCTCTACTAAAAATATATTTAAAAAAAGAAATAGCTGAGCATGGTGGCATGTGCCTGTAATCACAGCTAGCTGGGAGGCTGAGGCAGAAGACTTGCTTTAACCTGGGAGGCAGAAGCTGCAGTAAGCCAAGATTGCACCATTGCACTCCAGCCTGGGAGAGAGTGAGAGCTCACACCTGTAATCTCAGTACTTTGGAAGGCTGAGACAGGTGGATCACAAGATCAGGAGTTCAAGAGCAGCCTGGCCACGATCGTGAAACCTTGTCTCTATTAAAAATACAAAAATTAGCCAGGCATTGTGGCAGGCATCTATAATCCCAGCTACTCGGGAGGCTGAGGCAGGGAACTGCTTGAACCTGGGAGGCAGAGGTTGCAGTGTCGTGCCACTGGGTGACAGAGTAAGACTCCACTTCAAAAATAAATAAATAAAATAAAGGTAATAAATTATATTACAGTGGTAATTGTATTGCTTTTAAAGAAGAAAAAAAGATTATTGAAAAACAAAACAGAACATTATTAAAGTTTAACCTATAGTTTTATGCTATTTTTATAATGTATAAAAACCCTCAAGTTTCATATAATTTGTTTTTTTGAGACAGGGTCTCACTGTGTCGCCCAGACTGCAGGGCAATGGCCCAATCTTGGCTCACTGCAACCTCTGCCTCATAAGTTCAAGCGATTCTTCTGCCTTAGCCTCCCAAGTAGCCAGGACCACAGGGATGTGCCACCATGCCCAGCTAATTTTTTTAAAATTAATTAATTAATTATTATTTTTTAAGATGGGGTTTCACCATGTTGGTCAGGCTGGTCTTGAACTCCTGACCTTAGGTGATCCACCCACCTTGGCCTCCAAAGTGCTTGGATTACAGGCAAGAGCCACCGCACTCGGCTTTTTAAAAATTTTTGATAGAGACAGGGTTTTGCCATCTTGGGCTTGCTGGTCTTGAACTCCCGACCTCAAGTGATCTGCCCACCTTGGCCTCCCAAAGTTCTGGGATTACAGGTGTAAGCCACCACACCCGGCCCATAATTTTTCTTCTGTTCAGTATTTACATAATATGATTTGGTAGAAAATGACTTAATGACTATGTATATATGTTTTGTCCATTACCAAAGAAAATATGACACTAATTTCATAGGCTTCTATATTTTGAAATGAAGCAAAGTTCATTTTTTCTAGCTTCTAATTAACTAAACTAGAAAAATCCATTTAAAAAAAATTAGTCCCCAGCACTCTGACAGGCTGAGGCAGGAGGATCACTTGAGACCAAGAGTCTAAGGCCACGCTGGACAACAAACAGGACAAGACCTCATCTCTACAGAAAATTTAAAAATTAGTGGGATGTTGTGACACTTACCTGTAGTCCCAGCTACTGCGGAGTTTGAGGCAAGAGGAGTGCTTGAGACCAAGAGGTCAAGGCTATAGTCAGCCATGATTGCACCACTGCACTCCAGCCTGGGAACAAAGCAAGACCCTGTGTCTCAAAAAAAAAAACCAACCCATCAGATGTGGGGGCTCAAGCCTGTAATTCCAGCACTTTCAGAGGCTGTGTTTGGTGGATCACTTGAGGTCAGGAGTTTGAGACCAGACTGGCCAACATGGTGAAACACCTGCTCTACTAAAAATACAAAAATTAGTTGGGGTGGTGGTGCACGCCTGTAGTCCAGCTACTTGGGAGGCTGAGGCAGGAGAATAGCTTGAATCCAGGAGGTGGAGGTTGCCGTGAGCTGACATGGAGCCAGACTCAGTCTCAAAAAAAAGAACAATTGCCTGCATGCGCGTGCGCGCACGCACGCACACACGCGCACGCACGCACACACACACGTATGTGTATATGTCTTACAATATAGAGGACCAAAACAAAGAAAAAAATCGTTGTAAAATACTATACCTCACTGGCAGACATATTCTTCACCTGTTCTGGTTTCAGTTCTGTAAAAAATAAAAGTCAGGCACTTAAAAATACATACATTTTGCAGTTTAAATTGTTGAAAGGCAAAACCAAGTACAATGATCTCAATGGACCTCTTCAGTACAAATCATTACATTAAGAGAGACACGTTAACTTTGAGAGCACCTACAATTTATAAATGCTTAGAAGAGAACATTCCTTCTTTAGGAATAACTGGAAAATGTTCAATTTCTTGCATATTGCCCATGAACAATAGTTTACACATGTGAAAGGGAACATAAAAGAATGCAACGTGTTCTTTACAAAATTCATTAGTCTTTTTTGCTTTTACTCTATACTTTATTTACTTTTTTTTTTTTTTTTTTTTTTTGAGACAGAGTTGCACTCTTTTGCCCAGGCTGGAGTGCAATGGCATAATATCAGCTTACTGCAGCCTTGCCTCCAGGGTTCAAGCGATTCTCCTGCCTCAGCCTCCTGAGTAACTGGGATTACAGGTGCACGCAACCACACCCAGCTAATTTTTGTATTTTCAATAGAGGTGCAGTTTCATCATATTGATCAAACTGGTCTCAAACTCCTGACCTCATGATCTGCCCACCGCAGCCTCCCAAAGAGCTGGGATTACAGGTGTGAGCCATCACACCCGGCCTGTTTATTTACTTTTTAAGATAGCACCTCACTCTGTCACCCAGGCTGGAGTGCAGTGGCATGACCATGGTTCACTGTTGCCTGGACCTTCCAGGCTCAAGTGATCCTCCTATTTCAGCCTTCTGAGTAGTTGAGAATACAGGAGCATGCCAACAGGCCCAGTTAATTTATTTTATTCTTTTTGAAGAAAGAGTCTCTCCCTATGTTTCCCAGTCTAGTCTTGAACTCTTAGGCTCACACAATCCTCCCACCTTGGCCTCCGAAAGTGCTGGGATTATAGGCGTAAGCCACTGCACCCGACCATTTTCTGTATGTTAATGGATGCGAATCTTTTTTAACCCCAAATTTTATCTGCCTCAGAATAGCCAAAATGTTCTAAAAAAAATATGCATTGGCTACTATTTTTGAGTCAACTATCTAAACAGGATTTAAGCTCTGGCAACAAGAAAATTTGTTTATCCAGAGTTTCAAAATATACTCTCAAGATTTCATTTTTTATTTTGCAAAGCAACAGTTCTTAATCACTACCCTATTTCACTATGGGAGGTGTTACTGGTAATTTTTAACCAGTCAAACCAAAAGGTTTTAGATAATGTAGGTTTTTAATGCAAATTACAGTAAACACTAAGATAATATGTTTCTCATACAACTATATTTAATTAATTGTACTTTCTTGAATGAGAAAAGAGATGGAGCTGTAACTAGTGCTCTGGAGTTGCATGTTCTAAGTTTATTTTATCAGTATAGCTAATAATCTGAGTGCATACCTGAGAGCATCAACCATCTACTACCCAGGCTGGCTGTGGAAAAGTAGCTGAAAATATCTATGTAAGTTTATCCTAACCTAACCTAAAAATAATTAGTCATGGTATTTCGGAATCAACAAACTTGAATAAAAACATAGGAATAAATATTTTGCTGCAATTCCTCAAAAGACATAAATAAAAAGGTAAAAACTTGGCTGGGCGTGGTGGCTCAAGCCTGTAATCCAAGCACTTTGGGAGGCCGAGGCGGGTGGATCATGAGGTCAAGAGATCGAGACCATCCTGGTCAACATGGTGAAACCCCGTCTCTACCAAAAATACAAAAAATTAGCTGGGCATGGTGGCACGTGCCTGTAATCCCAGCTACTCAGGAGGCTGAGGCAGGAGAATTGCCTGAACCCGGGAGGTGGAGGTTGCGGTGGGCCGAGATCGTGCCATTGCACTCCAGCCTGGGTAACAAGAGCGAAACTCCATCTCAAAAAAAAAAAAAAAAAAAAAGGTAAAAACTTATATAATTTCCTTTAGACACATTAATTTCAAATGATGTCAGAATATTGAAAAGAGCCAGAAAACAGGTAAGAACATTTTTCTTGTATTATTCTTTTTTGTTTAAAAGTTTTCTTTTTCTTTGAGTTTTCCGTTGCTTACTACTATCAAGAAGTTTGTGCCTAGAACAGGGGTCATAGTCCACTGACTCATAGACTATTTTTGTATGATTTGTGAGATAAGAATGGTTTTAAGGCTGGGCATGGTGGCTCTTGCCTGTAATCCCAGCACTTTGGGAGGCCAAAGCAGGTGGATCGCTTGAGCCCAGAGTTTAAGACCAGCTTGGGCAACATGGTGAAACTCCATCTCTACCAAAAAAATAAAATAATTAGCCAGGCCTGATGGTGTATGCCTGTAGTCCCAGCTACCAGGAAGGCTGAGGTAAGAGGATCACCTGAGCCTGGAGGGTTTGAGGCTGCAGTGAACTATATTGTGTCAGTGCACTACAGCCTGGGCAACAGAGTGAGACCCTGCCTCCAAAAGGAGAAAAAAAAAAAAAAATATATATATATATATATATATATATACATATATATATATAGAAAGAGAGAGAGAGAGAGACAGAGAAACAGAGAGAGGTAGATTTTTTTTGGACTTCTTTAACTTCTAAAGTGGTATAATAAATAGTTTTAAATGTTTCAAGCTCTTGTACGCCTACCTCTGATAGGACCCAGTGCTGCATCTTTTGCCAAAGCTGTTAGGTCACTTCCTGAGTATCCATCAGTCATTCTGAGGAGGGGAAGGAAGAAACAGCAAGTTAGTTTCCTTTTTTTTTTTTTTTTGAGATGGAGTTTTGCTCTTGTTGTCTAGGTTGAGTGCAATGGCATGATCTTGGCTCATTGCAACCTCCACCTCCCAGGTTCAAGTGATTCTCCTGCCTTAGCCTCCCAAGTAGCTGGGATTACAGGCATACACCACCACACCTAATTTTTTTTTTTATTATTTAGTAGAGATGCAGTTTTACCATGTTGGTCAGGCTGGTCTCAAACTCCTGACCTTAGGTGATCCACCCACCTCCCAAAGTGCTGGGATAACAGGCATGAGCCACCGTGCCCAGCCAAAACAGCAAATTATATTTTAATCTCTGCAGATTTAAAATCTCCATATAATAAGAAGGTAAAAACTAGTTTCCCTTTGTCAGCAAGTCTATAGTTTTGTGGTTTGATTTCAAGGGAACAAAAAGGCCCTTTTGCTGAAAACAACTGCTAGTTCCCTGTAATGCCTCAACTTTTAATCATTAGAACCATCCCTTTAGAATAAGGCATACTCTCTCCAGAGGCTTCATTAAATTGTAAATATGTCTCCTGGAAAGGTAACATCTACAAACTGTTGGTGCCAACTGACACATAAACACAATTACTTCTCTAGTGTTTATCTTGGCAAAGAGCAGTCTCTTGTTGGGATAAGGGACAATCAAAGTAGATTTCTTTAAATATGGGGACAGACAGACAGAAAGGTCTGGAAAAGAAGATATTTTCAAGTTATCTGTTCTTTTGTTACAGGTATCTAAGAACTCACAGTTCTTGTTAAAATTATTCAGTACTCTTGGGAGGCCGAGGCGGGTGGATCACGAGGTCAAGAGATCGAGACCATCCTGGTCAACATGGTGAAACCCCGTCTCTACTAAAAATACAAAAAAATTAGCTGGACATGGTGGCGCATGCCTGTAATCCCAGCTACTCAGGAGGCTGAGGCAGGAGAATTGCCTGAACCCAGGAGGCGGAGGTTGCGGTGAGCCGAGATCGCGCCATTGCACTCCAGCCTGGGCAACAAGAGCAAAACTCCGTCTCATAAAATAAAAAAAAAATAAAAAAAAAAAAAAAAGGCCGGGCGCGGTGGCTCAAGCCTGTAATCCCAGCACTTTGGGAGGCCGAGGCGGGTGGATCACAAGGTCAAGAGATCGAGACCATCCTGGTCAACATGGTGAAACCCCGTCTCTACTAAAAATACAAAAAAAATAGCTGGTCATGGTGGTGCGTGCCTATAATCCCAGCTACTCAGGAGGCTGAGGCAGGAGAATTGCCTGAACCCAGGAGGCGGAGGTTGCGGTGAGCCGAGATCGCGCCATTGCACTCCAGCCTGGGTAACAAGAGCGAAACTCCGTCTCAAAAAAAAAAAAAAAAAAAAAAAAAAAAATTATTCAGTACTCACATACTCGCTGAATATTTCAAATTACTTTATGACATTTTTTAGGGAATAAAACTCATGAGTGCATCTGAGTGCATCTCCTATACGTAGTTTCTTATTTTACCACACTGTTCATAAAGTTCAAGGTGTGAAAGACAAAAACTATTCAGTGTAATGCAAAAGAATAAGTTTATGTAAAAATATCTGTGAGCGGATGTGAAATGTTACAAATTTTTTTTGAGACAGGGTCTCACTATGTCGCTCAACCTCCACCTCCAGGGCCTAAGGGATCCTCCCACCTCAGGCTCCCAAGTAGCTGGAACTATAGGTGTGTGCCACCATTCCTGACTCATTTTATTTTTTTGTAGAGATGGGGGTTCACCATGCTGCCCAGGTTGCAAATGTTTAAATTACTTTAATACCACTTATAGGTTTTAATAAATTTATAAAAATAATATATTATCATCATTAGATATTTAGGTCATGTCTTGCAGAGGACACAGTAAGTAAAATTTAGATTCCATAGTATAAGAATAAGGTGAAGGAGGCAGAGGATGAGACAAAAAGTTTTCTGATAAAAGAATTACTCTTTCATACTTAAGATTACTTTAAATAACTGAAAAAAGAATTATTTGCAAAAAATAAATAAATAAAAGCTGTAACATAAACCAAATCCAAATTACTCACCTAGCAAGTTGTGCTAGTTCTTTTTGGGTCAATGGGCTTCCTTGTTTACATAACAGATTTTTAAGCAAAAGTAGTCTTGTCTGAAAATAAACATTAAAAAATGATCATTCAAGTCTAATTTAATATCAGAATTAATGATTCTTTTCTTATTTTTTTATTTCGAGACAGGGTCTTGTTCTGTTACCCAGGCTGGAGTGCAGGGCACAATCATAGCTCACTATAGCCTCGACATCCTGGGTTCAAGCAATCCTCCCATCTCAGCCTTCTGAGTAACTAAGGGACCAAAGGTATGTGCCACCATGCCTGGTTAATTTCTATATAAGTGTTTGTAGAGACAAGGTCTCCCTATGTTGCCCAGGCTGGTCTTGAAATCCTGGTGCAAGCGATCCTCCCAGCTCAGCCTCCCAAAGTGTTGGGATTACAGGTGTGAGCCACCGCACCTGGCCAAAAAAGTTTTATAGAGGCATGAATTCATCCACCATGAACTTCACCCATTGTAAATGTATAATTCAATGACTTTTAATACATTTATAGAGTTGTGCAATCATCACCATAATCCAGTTTTGGAACACTTTTTAGGTCACTCATACCTGTCTGCAGTTAATCCTCATTCCCAGCCCTCACCCTGACAACCCACTGATCTGCTTTATGTTTCTAGAAATTTGTATTTTCTCCACATAAACAGAATCATATGATATGTGACATATATCTTGCTTCTTTCAATTATCATAAACTTAATATATGAAGTGAGTATGCAGCATGTATAATAGATAACAGTATCCATTAAAAGAATATAGCACATTTGTTTATTCACCAAAATGAACATTTAGATTCTTTGTAGGTTCTGGCTATTATTAATATTGCTGCTATAAAAATTCTTGTATAAGTCTTTGTGTAAACGTACATTTTTGTTTTTCTTGGGTAAATTCTCAGGAGTGAAATTGCTGAGTTTGACAGTAAGCTTACATTTATCTTTTTAAGAAACCACTAAACTGTTTTCCAAAGTAGGTGTACCATGGATTGGAAGACTTAATATTGTCAAGATGGTAGTTCTTGTTTCTGCTTTAAAACAAAAAAAATTCAAACACAGATACATACCTCCTCATTTGGTAAAGACACATATACCCGTTTGATGAAACGCCTAAAAAAAAAAATCCAGCACTTTTAGAAATATAATTTTGAATTTAAAGCTGAAGCAGCAAATGACAGGAAAAAGCTTTTAAAGTATAATATTGAAGGCACTGGAATGCATTTTGGTAGTTATCTATGTAAAACTATTTTTGTTACTCTTTTAAAACTCTAGTTAATGTTTAAAAATGCTTAATTCAGTATTTTTAGAACGAATCATTTATGTATGTATGTTTTTAATAGCAATAATGCTTTAAAACAAAATATCTGATATAAGTAGATCTCTCCTGTTTTCTTGAATCTGAAAAAAAGCTAAAATCAGCAAGGATAATAGAAACAGAAATGAAAACTTTATTAACAAACTAGGTAACATTTATGGAATAAAATACATAAAGGTGAACTGCCTAGGACAGTGAAAATTATACTGAGAAAAGGAAGATGCACGCAGGATCTGCTGAGGAAGATCATGGACATGACTGTCAGAACAGTTTTCCCCAAAAAAGAGACAGCACACCCTGAAGGATAATAAAGCCAATCCTTCCACATTTAAACAAGCATATGAGGCCTGGCTCTGCAGACCATGTAAACCCTAATTGATAGCACAGGAATGGCAAGGAAGGTGAAATTGAACAAAGAAACTCTAAGACAAATTATTTTTGAAAGAAGGCATCTAAAAGTCTGGCAGGAAGACACTGCCTTGCAGTGACCAATATTTTTTAATAGAAGAATAAATCAACTCTAACTCTTATTTACACACACATGTATTTCATTATCAGGTAGGACTTCACTGTAAGTGAGGGAGGCTGCATGTTAGTTTAGTGTATACATGGACTACTCAAAATACCTATCCCTTCCCCTACAATATCCTTCCAAAACTAGATTTTCCAAGAAAACTCCTTTTATTCAAAGAAAAATAATAAGCAAAAGTGAAAAATAACAGGGCTCATTTAAAAAAAAAAAAAAAACCTCTCCCCAAAAGAGCAAACAAAACACAACAAACATAAACTAGATAAAATGAAGAACAAGCATGAGAAGATTTTGTCATAGAGCAAATTAAAATCATGACCAAATATCTTTCCATGAGGTAATTTAATTAAAAAGATTTTTTTATCCTTAAGTTTTTTGTTTTTTTTTAAATAGATATGGGGTTTTACCATGTTGGCAAGGCTGGTCTGGAATTCCTGGCCTCAAGTGATCTGACCACCAAAGTACTGGGATTACAGGCATGACCCACCATGACGCTCAACCAAAAAACTGTTTTTTTTTTGTTTTTTTGAGACAGACCTGTTGCCCAGCCTGAAGTACAGTGGTGCAATCTTGGCTCACTGCAACCTCTGCCTCCCAGTTCAAGCGATTCTCACTGCAACCTCTGCCTCCCAGTTCAAGCGATTCTCAGCCTCCCAAGTAGCTGGGATTACAGGTGTGTGTGACTACGCCCAGCTAATTTTTTGTATTTTTAGTAGAGACAGGGTTTCACTATGTTGGCCAGGCTGGTATTGAACTCCTGGCTTCAAGTGATTTGCCTGCCCCCAAAAATTGTTTTCTATGAAGCAAGAGCCCAGTGAGATATAAGAGTTTATGGAAAAAACATATAGATACTCAAAGAAATAAAACAGAAGATGAAAATTAGGGTAACAGAGGTCAGAAAAGTAATAAATAAAAAATCACCAAGGAAAGATGGGTTACAAAACACATAGCGGAAAGGAAATCAGATACTAACCCAGTAAGAATAAAGGTAACAGGCTTGGGAAAACAGAACAAAACAAAAAGACCTAAGAGTTTAAAAGGATTAAGAAGAAAATTACAGATAGGGAATTTATGTGCAAAATAAAACAGAAAAATGAACTAGGAAAAAAATTAAGATATCATTTAAAATAAATTTCCCATTTTAACGATATTGATTCTTCCAATCCATGAGCATGGAGTGTTTTTCCATTTATTTGTGTCATCTCTGATTTATTTTAGCAGTACTTTACAGTTCTCCTTGTAGAGATTCTTTCACCTCCTTCATCAGCTGTATTCCTAGATATTTCATTTTCTTTTCTTTTTTTTTTTTGAGATGGAGTCTTGCTCTGTCACAACCAGGCTGGAGTGCAATGGCATGATCTTGGCTCACTGCAACCTTTGCCTCCTGGGTTCAAGTGATTCTTCTGCCTCAGCCTCCTGAGTAGGTGGGATTACAGGTGCCGGCCACCATACCTGGCTAATTTTTTGTGCTTTTAATAGAGACAAGGTTATACCGTGTCGGTCAGGCTGGTCTCGAACTCATGACCTCAAGTGATCTGCCCGCTGGGATTATACAGGTGTGAGCCACAGTGCCCAGCCAGCATTTCATTTTCTTTGTGGCTGTTGTAAATGGGATTGTGTTCTTGATTTGATCCTTAGCCTGAATGCTATTAGTATATAGAAATGCTACTAATTTTTGTACACTAATTTTGTATCCTGAAACCTTGGTAAAATCATTTATCAGTTCTAGTAGCCTTTTGGTGGCATTTTTAGAGTTTTTTCAGTATAGAATCATATTGCCAGTGAAAAGAGAGAGAGCATGATGACTTCTTTTCCTATGTGGATGCCTTTTATTTCCTTCTCTTGCCTGATTGCTCTGTAAAATGACTACACTGCCCAAAGCAATTGACAGATTCAGTGCTATTCCTGTCAAACTATCAATGTTATTTTTCACACAAGTAGAAAAAATTATTCTAAAATTCATATGGAACCAAAAAAGAGCCAAAATAGCCAGAGCAATCCTAAGCAAAAAGAACAAAGCTGGAAGTATCACATTACCTGACTTTAAACTATACTATACAGTAGCCCAAACAGCATAATTCTGGTATAAAAACAGACACACAGGCCAAAGGTACAGGATAGAAAATTGAGAAATAAAGCCACACACTTATAACCCATCTGATCTTTGACAAGGCTGACAAAAAAAAAGCAATGGGGAAAAGACTCCCTATTTAACAAATAGTGTGGGGATTACTGGCTAGCAATATGTAGAAAAATGAAACTGAACCCTTAGTTTTCACCATATACCCAAATTAACTCAAGATGGATTAAAGATTTAAATGTAAGATCTCAAAGTATAAAAATGCTAGAAGAAAACTAGAAAATACCCTTCTTGACATCAGCCTCGGAAAGAAATTTTGGCTCAAAAACAATTGCAATAAAAATAAAAACTGACAAGTGGGACCTAATTAAACTAGAAAGCTTCTGCACAGCACAAAGAACCATCAACAGAGTAAACAGACAACTTACAGAATTGCATCCAACAAAGGTCTGATATCCAAAATCTCTAAGTATTCAAACGATTGAACAAGCTAAAAACAAACAACCCTATTAAAAAATGGGTAAAAAGGATATGTACAGACATTTCTCAAAAGACGTATGAGGGGATGACAAACATGAAAAAATATGCATCATTGCTAATCATCAGAAAAATGTGAATCAAAATCATAATGAGATATCTCACACCAATCAGAATGGCTATTAATATAACAGCAAAAAAATCCCATATTGTCTAGAGATTGGCGGGAAAAAGCAAAAAAAAAATAACATGCTGGTGAAGCTGTGGAGCATATATACTTCGGTGGTAATGTACAGTTTAGTCATTGTGGAAATCAGTTTGAAGATTTCTCTAAAAACAAAACAGATCTACCTTTGACCCTGTAATCCCATTATTGCATATATACCCAAAGGAAAATAGATCATTATACCAAAAAGACATGCATTTAATGTTTATTGCTGTACTATTCACAATAGCAGACATAGATTCAACTTAGGTGCCCACCAATGGTGGACTGGATAAAGAAAATGTGGTACATACACACCATGGAATACTACACAGCCATTAAAAAGAATGAAATGATGTCCTTTGCAGCAACATAGACGGAGCTGGAGGCCTTAATACTAAGCAAATTAATGCAGAAACAGTAAACCAAATAGTGTATGTTCTCATAAGTGGTAGCTAAAAATTGGGCACACATGGACATAAACATGGGAACAATACACACTGTGGACTACTACATGGGGGAAGAAAGGAGTGAGGTGTGGGTTGAAAAACTACCTACTACACACTATGCTCACTATCTGAGTGCAATATACCCATGTAACAAACCTGCACATGTAACCCCTGAATCTAAAATAAAAGTCCAAATTATAAATAAATTAATAAAACAAATTTCCCAAAACAAAGGAAGTTCCAAACTATCAATTTAAAGAAACATCAAATCTCTGGAAAAATAAATACAGATCAACATACTTTTCAAATAACCAGATTTCAATGGCTAATAATTCTATCCAGTAAAGAGAGAAAAAAAATCAAGTTAATTTATAAATTTGAAAAAATCAGCTTGGATTCAGACTTTTACACTACTATAGCCAATCCTAGAAACAATGGAGTGATATTGTGAATTCCTTGGGGAAGTATGCCCAAGAATTTTATGCTGAGTCAAATTGTTCTTCCAGTATGAAGAGAATAAATTTGCTCAAACACACAAGAGCAAAACACATATTTTCCATGAACCGTGCTTTGATCATCTTCTCATGAAGCCCAATAAAAGAGGGTAAGAATCAATTTTGAAGTTTAAAGATAATTTAATGCAACCCAGAAGAACCGACCAATCTGCCTAAAACCTTAACTAAACCTTCACTAGACTAGTTCTCCTGATATCAAGCTATTGACCTCAAAATCATTATTTAGTTGGTAACAAGAGGCTAGAGGATAGGACGGGAGGAAAACAGTGAATTGTCTTAACTGAGAATAAGGAAATAATACGTAAGATGAACACATGAGTAAATACTGTCTGTAATAAATGCATGTATTTCATATAAATCTCCCTACCTGAGAACAGCCTCATCAAGCTCTTGCGGCCTATTAGTTGCACCCATTACAAGTACTCTGTCATCTCCAGCAGACTGTACCTACAAGCAAAAAATCTTTTTTCAATACATTTAGAAAAGTAATAACAAATATAAAGATATTTGTATTTTTAAGCTTGGCCATTTAATAGAAATATACATATATATACTAAAATGCTGCCACATAGAAAAAATCATAATCAACACTTACACCATCAAATTCTATTAGAAATTCAGTTTTTAGGCGTCTACTAGCATCGTGCTCCCCTTCTCTTCTTTCACACAAAAGGCTATCAACTTCATCTGGAGGAAATACAAGTATAAGACTTTAAAAACCAAGCTATGTGAGTCATCTGAGATCAATCTAGTTTAATACTTATTAATATAGTGGGTCCATTAAACTCATTAGATAGTCTTTAAGCTTGCCCTTCTTTAAAACTTCTTCCTTCTTGGCTGGGCGCAGTGGTTCAAGCCTGTAATCCCAGCACTTTGGGAGGCCGAGGCGGGTGGATCACGAGGTCAAGAGATCGAGACCATCCTGGTCAACATGGTGAAACCCCGTCTCTTACTAAAAATACAAAAAGTTAGCTGGGCATGGTGGTGCGTGCCTGTAATCCCAGCTACTCAGGAGGCTGAGGCAGGAGAATTGCCTGAACCCAGGAGGCGGAGGTTGCAGTGAGCCGAGATTGCGCCATTGCACTCCAGCCTGGGTAACAAGAGAGAAAAAACTCCGTCTCCAAAAAAAAAAAAAAAAAAAACTTCTTCCTTCTGGATGTTTCCAATCATATCTTTCTTATTTGCAGAGGGAAATTTTACAAATAGTCAACTAACTTAGTTAGAAAACATGTTCTTACCTATGAAAATTATAGAAGGTTGAAGTTCTCGAGCCACAGCAAAAAGAGCTCTTACCAATTTCTCTCCTTCTCCCACCTAAAACAAGGCATTATATTGTTATACACATAAAATGCAACATTATTCCAGTTTTTTAAAATTTTATGTTGAAAATCTAGCACACAGGAATTTAATTTCCCTACCTTACAACAACCAAAGATTTGGTTTGAGAAAGGAGACAGTATTACTGAACTGTCCTTATAATTTTAGAAAATAGACCGTGATTTCATATAGCCTGGTAAATGCTTTAAAAATTCATCTATTTTGCTTCACCCTGCATTCCTAAGACTTGAGAATGAAATAGCTATTTGGTCAAGGATCTAACTAGTGAGAAAAGGGAAGACTAAGGGAGAGAAAGAAATGCTGTACATATTCCTTAAGCCCTAGATTACAAGGTATATTTATAGAAGCAAGTAAGTTGGAATGTGCTCTCCTAAACAAAACTTGCTCTATTAAGAGCACCTTGAAAAGTCATTCTCACAACACCATCATCAACAAGTATCAAAATCGCAAATCGCTTTTTTTTTTTTTTTTTTTTGAGACAAGAGTTTTGCTCTGTAGCCCAGTTTGGAGTGAAGTGATGCAATCTTGGCTCAATGTAACCTTGCCTCCTGGGTTCAAGCGATTCTCATGCCTCAGTCTCCAAGTAGCTGGGATTACAGATGCCCACCACCACGCCTGGCAAATGTTTGTATTTTTAGTAGAGGCAGGGTTTCCCCATGTTGGCCAGACTGGTCTTGAACTCCTGACTTCAGGTGATCCACCTACCTCACCCTCCCAAAGTGCTGGGATTAGATGCATGAGCCACGGTGCCCAGCCAATAAATATCAATATCAAAACATTTCCAGACAGTCCAGAAGGTCTATGAACAATCACTGAGAACCATTCCCAGGTGCTGACAGCATATAAAGGCCATTTTATGCACCAAAGTAATGAAAGAGTCATAAGGTCTGTGACAATCTACTATAAAAATGTTTCTGTCCTATAGGTGGCATTTATTTTTATTGAAGATTTAACTTAAAAACAAACAAAAGAAATGGCTCAGATTTAGAATAATCAAAACAAATATTCTCAGAGCTGAAAGAAATCTCAAAAGATCATCTCTTATGACATTAACATTTACAGATGAAACAGGCCTAAAGTGATACTTTCTTAAGGCCAGTTCAGGATGTAAAAGTTAGGCTAGAGGCCGGGAACAGTGGATCACTCCTGTAATCCCAGTACCTTGGGAGAGCAAAGTGGGTGGATCACCTGAGGTCAGGAGTTCAAGACTAGCTGGCCAACATGGCAAAACCCTTTCTCTACTAAAAATGTAAACTCTAGCTGGGCGTGGCAGTGCATGACTGTAATCCCAGCTACTTGAGGCTGAGGCAGGAGAATCGCTTGAACCCGGAAGGTGGAAGTTGCAGTGAGCTGAGATCACACCACTGCACTTCAGCCTGGGTGTAAGAGTGAGACCTTGTCTCAAGAAAAAAAAAAGCTAGCCTAGAATCCCTATCTCCTAACTTCCACGACAATGATTTCCATTATACCAATGCATAATGTGGGTAAACATGCTTTAATAACAACTTGAAGACCAGGCACAGTGACTCATGCCTGTAATCCTAGCACTTTGGGAGGCTGAGATGGGAGGATCATTAGAGCCCAGAAGTTTGAGACTAGTCCTGACTTGGCAACAATAGTCACACCTCATCACTACAACATTTTTTTTTGAGACAGTTTCTTACATTGTGACCCAGGCTGGAGTGCAGGGGCACAATCTCAGCTCACTGCAACCTTGGCCTCCTGAGTTCAAGCAATTCTCCTGCCTCAGCCTCCTGAATAGCTGGGATTACAGGCATCTGTCACCACATCTCACTATTTTTTTTTTTTTGTAGTTTTAGTAGACATAGGATTTCACCATGTCAGCCAGGCTGGTCTCAAACTCCTGACCTCGTGATTTGCCCACCTTGGCCTCCTATAGTGCTGGGATTACAGGTATAAGCCACTGCGCCCAGCTCCAAAAATTTGTTTGAAATTAGCTGGGCATGGTGGCATGCGCCGGTAGTACCAGCTACTTAGGATGCTAAAGTGTGAGGATCACTTGAGCCCAGGAGGTCGAGGCTGCAGTGAGCCATGCTCACACCACTGCACTCTAGCTTGGGCAGCAGAACAAGATCCTGTTTCAAAAAATAAATTAATAAACAGAATAATGACTTGTAAAATTTCAAATAGGAAGTAAAATGTGATCTAACTACTTTAAACATTGAGAACAATTTAAGTACAATGATTTATTAAAATATTTAAAGAAACTTACAAAATATTTGACTTAGCAGAGATAATACAAGAGAAATATTACTTTATTAACTTCTCTGATTTTTTCCCCTAATTTTTAAATCTAGTAGCATACTGATGCACTGAATGCCAAACTTTACAAACAATGTTCAAACTGTGTGGAAAAACTCTGTAAACTGGCAAGAACTATGCAAATGTTAGGTTTTTTTTTTTTTTTTTTTTTAAATAATCAATTAGAAGCAGGTTAAGCCGGGCGTGGTGGCTCAAGCCTGTAATCCCAGCACTTTGGGAAGTCGAGGCGGGTGGATCACGAGGTCGAGAGATTGAGACCATCCTGGTCAACATGGTGAAACCCCGTCTCTACTAAAAATACAAAAAACTAGCTGGGTGTGGTGGCGCGTGCCTGTAATCCCAGCTACTCAGGAGGCTGAGGCAGGAGAATTGCCTGAACCCAGGAGGCGGAGGTTGCGGTGAGCCGAGATCGCGCCATTGCACTCCAGCCTGGGTAACAAGAGTGAAACTCCGTCTCAAAAAAAAAAAAAAAAAAAAAGGAAGCAGGTTAATTAACAGTTTGAAAATAGAAGAAAAATATATAAGTTAAATCTATTTGTGTAAAAAAGCACAACTACAACTACTTGCAACAATCTGGATAAAGCTCACAAACATAATGCTGATGAAAGAAACCAAATGCACATACACACAAAATCCTATGTGATTAGATTTATATAAAGATCAAAGGCATGCTAGTTTTGTCTATGATGTTAGGAGTCTAAGTGGTTTCAAGGAAGAGGAATGAGTGGATAAAGATGGTGGAGTGCCTGGAGGGATTTCAGGGGTACAGGTAACAATTTATTTCTTGACCTGGGTGGTGATTATGAAAGTATATTTGCTTTGTGGTAATCTACTGAGCTGTATACTTACGCTATACTTTTCTACATGTAAGTTATTCAATAAACAAGGTTAAACAATAATACAACATGTTAAGATACATATGCAACTGATGTTTTGGGGAAACTAATCTAGATATTTTAATAACGCAAATGTTGTCCATGACTATGATGCAGTTCCTCCCAAAAGCTTTCTCAGGATATATCATAAGAGACAGAACATCTATATAATATTATCCAATGCTTTCTTTTTAAGTCTTCAAAGTCAGGTCACATCTGAGGTAAAACATTCAATTCTTATCATCCTCTGAGCATACTGACAAACTGGCATGAGACCACAGAAGGCAACTAAGATAATAATAACTATTCTGGGGGCTGGGGGGAAGCAGATATTACATTAAGTTCCTATATATTTGAAAGGCTTTCTCATAAAAGAAAACTAGAAGCCGGGCGCGGTGGCTCAAGCCTGTAATCCCAGCACTTTGGGAGGCTGAGGAGGGCGGATCACGAAGTCAAGAGATCGAGACCATCCTGGTCAACATGGTGAAACCCTGTCTCTACTAAAAATACAAAAAATTAGCTGGGCATGGTGGCACGTGCCTGTAATCCCAGCTACTCAGGAGGCTGAGGCAGGAGAATTGCCTGAACCTAGGAGGCGGAGGTTGCGGTGAGCCGAGATCGCGCCATTGCACTCCAGCCTGGGTAACAAGAGCGAAACTCCGTCTCAGAAAAAAAAAAAAAAAGAAAACTAGAATTTTGTTAAATCAAGTACATTAAAACTTAGAAAAAGTACATTTAGTTAAACATAAGAAAAAAAATTCTATTAGCTAGAACTGCCAAAATGATAAGACTAGACATTTCAATTTTTTCTTTTCTCTTTTCTTTTTTTGAGATGGGATCTCACTTTGTCACCCAGGCTGGAGTGCAGTAGCATGATGTCTCAGCTCACAGCAAACTCCACCTCCTAGGCTCAAGTGATCCTCCCACATCAGTCTCCTGAGTAGCTGAGACCACAGGCACATAGCACCATGCCCTACTAATTTTTTATATTTCTGGTAGAGACAGGGTTTTGCCATGTTGCCCAGCTTGGTCTCAAACTCCTAAGCCCAAGTGATCCACCTGCCTCAGCCTCCAAAGTGCTGGGATTATAGGCCTGTGACACCACACTCAGCCTCAACTTTCTTTCTTTCTTTTTTTTCTGAGACGGAGTTTCGCTCTTGTTACCCAGGCTAGAGTGCAATGGCGCAATCTCGGCTCACCGCAATCTCCGCCTCCTGGGTTCAGGCAATTCTCCTGCCTCAGCCTCCTAAGTAGCTGGGATTATAGGCATGCACCACCATGCCCAGCTAATTTTTTTTTGTATTTTTAGTAGAGACGGGGTTTCACCATGTTGACCAGGATGGTCTCCATCTCTTGACCTTGTGATCTGCCCGCCTCGGCCTCCCAAAGTGCTAGGATTACATCAACTTTCTTAAAAGCAAACTTGCTTCAAGATATTTAGGCAGTATGAAAATTAAAGGTTAAGATCATGAATGTTATGTTGTTTCTGGAAACATGAAGATGAAGCAGAATACTCTTGAAACAAGTATGGATAAAAGAGAATGGTTGCTGTAATATTTTTAATGAAAGGCCACACTCATTGGAGCTCAAATCCTAGTTTCCCACTTCCTTATGAGATCCTGAGCAGATCACTGAACTTCTCTGTAATTTCCTAATAGAGATATGAGAATAATATCTATTCATCATATGATTACTTATTCCACAAGTATTTATTTAGTACCTACTCACTGCCAAGGAAAGCAAAATATTGCCAGCAAGCCACTAGAAGCTAGGAGAGGGGCATGCAACATACATTTTCCCTCACAGCCCCCAGAAGGAAATAATCTGCCAACATTCTGACTGATCTTGGACTTCTAGCTTCCACAACTATGAGAAAATAAATTGCTGATGTTTAAGCCAGCCAGTTTACGATATTTTATTAAATGGTTCCAGTAAACTAATACAGTATTTGACAATATAAACATACATTAACTTTCTACTGTGAAGATTGATATTAATCATGTTAATAACAGATATGAAACTCCTAGAAAAATATTTTCATGAAATATTATTACCATTTATAGTTAACACAGTAACTTTTAGATAGTAACTTAAAATATAACAATATTGGAAACAGCACTTACATATTTTGAAGTTAAACTTGCAGCACTTATATTAAAGAAGGTTGCATTCGATTCTGCAGCTACTGCTTTAGCCTTTAAAAATCACAAGAGCAAATATTAAATTAGTTCATGTCTTGCTTTTAAAAGATAACCATATTTATAGATTTAAGTACTAGAAAAGATTCTCTAAAAATTTAAGCTATGGGCCGGGTGCAGTGGCTCACAACTGTAGTCTCAGCACTTTGGGAGGCCAAGGCGGGCAGATCAGTTGAAGCCAAGAGTTTGAGATCAGCCTGGCCAACATGATGAAACCCCGTCTCTACTAAAAATACAAAAATTAGTCAGGCGTGGTGGTGCACGCCTGTAATTCCAGCTACCTGGGAGGCTGAGGTGGCACAATTACTTGAACGCAGGAGGAAGAGATGGCAGTGAGCCAAGATCACGTCACTGTACTCCAGCCTGGGTGATAGAGCAAGACTCTGTCTAAAAAAAAATATCATTAAAAAATAAAAATGCGGAGGGGGGAGGGGCACAAAAAAATAAAAAATAAAAATGTAAGGTATGATACAATCCCCAATATATGGCAATCAATGTGTTTCTTTCTTAGCAATGAGGACAGGTTACAGAAAGAGCTGTGCTTTTTCTACTCTCTTCCTGAGAGATAATGAGAGAAATTTTAAAAAAAGAGAGTGTTATTCTCCTCTTCTTAGGTATACAAAGATAACTGCTTTGAGAAACACAAACATCTTAGGAAAAGCTACTCTTTCCCTATTAGTTTTTTCCATCCAGAAGAGCTATGCAGAGGAAAGAGGTATCCAGATCCTGATAAAAAATTCTAGCAAAAGAATACTTAAAAAAAAAAAAAAAAAGCTTCTGCATTGATAACGAAGCTCTTTATAACCAAAAAAAAAGCTATAACATACTGATTATTTAAATAAAGTTGTATGATAGTAGAAGCAAAAATCAAAGGTTAGAAAGACACTCAATATCGTAAGGTAAACTCTTCCAAAGTAAAAATTTTAATATTTAATTTACAAAAAATGACAATTACACTGTCAAATTTAACCAACCAAAAACACATTACTGAGATAATACTTATGGTTTTCCAGCTACTTCTATATTGAAAAGTAATTGAAAAACTTAAAAGAAGCCTATCAGCCAGATGCAGTGGCTCATGCCCGTAATCCTAGCACTTTGGGAGGCCCAGGTGAGAGGATAGCTTGAGGCCCAGAGTTTGAGACCAGCCTAGCCAATATGGCGAAATCCTGTCTCTACCAAAAATACATAAATTAGACAGGTGTGGTGGCGTGTGCCCATAATCCCAGCTACTCAGGAGGGTGAGGCACAAAAATCGCTTGAACCCAGGAGGCGGAGCTGAGATCACTCACAAACAAACAAACAAAAATGTATCATAGCAAAAAAGAAAATCATAAATAATAGACTCAGGAACAAGATGAAGTTTCTTTTTTCATGTTATCCCAAATATCTTAATAGAAAACTCAAATTTGAAGAGAACTCTTACCAGCATTGTCTTTCCATTCCCAGGTGGACCAAAGAGTAACAGTCCTCTGGCAGGAGCTCTAAGCCCTGTGAACAACTTAAAAATAAATGCTTTAGTTTACAACTATGATTCTAGAGACATTTTAAGTACTATGTGTCATCTAAAAAGCATCCTTTTCAGTAGCATCCTCCCAAACAGAGCTGTCCACAACTTTAAAGGAAACACATAATCATAAATTAGTGTAATAATTAAAAACAGCTGGGTGTGGTGACGCACACCTATAATCCTAGCACTTTAGGGGGCCAAGACAGGAGGATCATGTGAGCCCAAGAGTTCAAGACCAGCCTGGGCAACATAGGGAGACTCTACTTCTACAAAAATTAAAAAAAAAAAAAAAAAAAAAATTAGCAGGGTGTGCTGGATTGCCTGTGCTCCCAGCTACTCAGAAGGCTGAGGTAGGAGGATTACTTGAGCTTGGGAGGCCAAGGGTACAGTGAGCTTTGATCTCGCCACTATACTCCGGCCTCAATGACAGAGTGAGACCCTGTCTCAGAAAAATAAAGGAAATAAAACCAACTCCTTTGTGATAATATTGAAAGCAGACTGCTTAAACAAGACACATTGAACAGAGGCATGTTTCCCTACTTAGAAATCGCACCAAAATAATACTAAATGAATAAAAAAATATAAATCTTCCAAACAAAAATAGAAAAGAAGGTAACACAATAAATTCCCATAAAATGGAGAACTGATAATGTGTGGTAAATCATTTAGCAGAGCTTAAAATCTAAATGTCTACTTGTGAAGGGATACCTAGATACAAGAAGCATGCTGACGTGAACAAAATTCTCAGGAAGGTTCAAAAATTGGAGGCATCAGGCACTACAGAAAGCAGTAGTAAGGCAGGCAGCCAAAAACAGAGGAACTGATTGAAAGTTGGTATGAGGAACTCCCCACCAAAGGCAGTCAAGCAGGCACCAACCACCACCAAAGCAGGAGGCAGGAGCTTTATTCTCTAAAAAAATAAGTTAGAGTCTCCAGACTTAGGGACACTAGGCATGACAAGAGTCACAGGTGGAGGCCCAGACTGACAACACCTCACCTACACTTATTAAACAACAGTGAATGTATACATACTTTTAAGTTGAATCATATGAAATGGCTAATATCCAACTTAAAAAAAAAAGTCTACTTTTTTTCAGTGATTTTACGTTTGCAGAAAATTGAGCAGAAAGTACAGAGTTCCCATATAACCTCTCATTCCTTTCCAATTTCCCCTAATCTGAGTATCTTGTATTAGTGTAGTACTAATGAAAAATGACATATTATTAACTGAAGTCCATAGTTTACAGTAAAGTTCACTCTTATGTTTGACATTCTATGGATTTTGACAAAGGTATAATGACACGTATCTACCATTAGATTATCATAAAGTACAGTTTCACTGCCCTAAAAATCCACTGTGCTCCACCTATTCCTCTCTCCCTGTCTTCCTTGGCAACCACTGATCTATTTACTGTCTCCATAGTTTTGCCTTTTCCAAAACATCGTATCATCAGAATCTTACAGTATATAGCCTTTTCAGATTGGCTTCTTTCAATTTAGCAATATGCATTTATGGTTCCTCCATTTTTTTTTCTGGCTTGATAGATCATTTTTTAAATTGCTGAATAATACTCGATTACACGGATATATCACAGTCTGTTTATCCATTCACCTACTTATGGATGGCTTGGTTGCTTCCAAATTTTGGCAACTATGAATAATGCTGCTAGAAACATTCACATGCAGGTTTTTGAGTGGAGGTACATTTTAAACTTATTTGGGTAAATACCGAGGAGTAAGACTGCTGGACCATATGGTAAGAGTTTTGTAAGAAACTGTCAAACCGTCTTTAGTTTTGTAAAAAACTCTCAAACTATCTTCCAAAATGGTTCTATTTTAGATTTCCATCAGCAATGAATGAAAGTTTCTGCTGCACCAAATTCCCTGCCAGAATTTGGTGTTGTCAGTGTTTTAGATTTTGGCCATTCTAATAGAGGTGTGGAATAACTTACCGTTGTTTTAATGTACAATTTCCCCAATGACATGATGTTGAGCATATATTCTTATCCTTGTTTGTCATTTATCTACCTTCCTTGGTGAGGAGATGTCTGTTCAGATATTTTGCCCATTTATTAACTGGGTTGTATCTTTTCTTATTGTTGAGTTTTTGTTTTTTTTTTGAGATGGAGTTTCACTCTTGTTACCCAGGCTGGAGTGCAAAGGCACGATCTTGGCTCACTGCAACCTCCGCCTCCTGGGTTCAGGCAATTCCCCTGCCTCAGCCTCCTGAGTAGCTGGGATTACAGGCACGTGCCACCATGCCCAGCTAATTTTTTATATTTTTAGTAGAGACGGGGTTTCACCATGTTGACCAGGATGGTCTCGATCTCTCGACCTCGTGATCCACCCGCCTCGGCCTCCCAAAGTGCTGGGATTACAGGCGTGAGCCACCGTGCCCGGCTTATTGTTGAGTTTTAAAAGTTCTTTGTATTTTCTGGATACTGGTCCTTTATCAGATAATGAATTTTGTAAAGTCTCCCATTCTGCTGCTTGTCTTTTCCTTCTCTTAACAGCATCTTACAGAGAGCAGTTTTTTTTTTTCTGGAGGAGGAGTCTTGCTCTGTCACCAGGTTGGAGTGCAGTGGGGCAATCTCGGCTCACTGCAACCTCCACCTCCTAGGTTCAAGCGATTCTTCCACCTCAGCCTCCTGAGTAGCTGGGACCACAGGCATGTGCCACCACACCCAGCTAATTTTTGTATTTTTAGTAAGATGAGGTTTCACCATGTTGGCCAAGATGGTCTCAATCTCTTGACCTTGTGATCCGTCCACTGCAGCCTCCCAAAGTGCTGGGATTATAGGCGTGAGCCACCGCGCCCAGCCAGAGCAGAAGTTTTTAATTCACAGTTCAACGTATTTATTTTTTCTTTCAAGGATCATGTTTTGGTATTGTACCTGGGAAGTCACTGCCAAACCAAACATTTTTCTCCTATGTTATCCTCTAGAAGTTCCAGTTCACATGTTACATTCAGGTCTGTGATCCATTTAAGTTAACTTTTGTGAAAGTTGTCAGGTCTGTGTCTAGATTAATTTAAAAAAAAAATTTTTTTTTTGAGTCAGAATCTTGCCCTATTGCCTAAGCTGGAGTGCAATGGTAAGATCTCGACTCACTGCGACCTCTGCCTCCTGGGTTCAAGCAATTCTCCTGCCTCAGCCTTCCAAGTAGCTGGGATTACAGGCATGTGCCATTATACCCAAATAATTTTTTGTATCTTTAGTAGAGATGGGGTTTCACCATGTTGGCCAGGCTGGTCTCAAACTCTTGACTCAGAATCCCAAAGTGCTGGGATTAGCTGGTGAGCCATCACACCAGGCCATCTAGATTAATTTTTTTGCATGTGGATATCCATTTTTCCTATAACACTTGTTGAAAAAGCTATCTTTTCTCTATTGAATTGTCTTTGTTCCTCTGCCTAGGATGAGCTGACTTTACCTGTGTGGGTCAATTTCTAGGCTCTCTGTCCAGTTCTACTGATTTGTCTATTCTTTTGCCAATGACACGCTGTCTTGATTAATGTAGCTTTACAGTAAGTCTTGAAGTTGGGTAGTTTCAGTTCTCTGACTTTCTTTTTCAACACTATATTGGCTGCTTTGGGTCTTCTGCCTTTTCATATAAACTTTAATTAGTTTGTCAGCACTCACAAAATAACTGTCTGGGTTTTGATCGGGACTGCACTGAATCTATTTATAAACTTGGGAAGAACTGACGTCTCAATAATATTTAGTCTCCCTATCTATTTACTTGGACTATCTCTTAATTTACTTAGCTCTTTGATTTCTTTCATGAGTGTTGTAATTTTTCTCATATAGACGTACAACAAACTTTGTTAGAATTTTTTTTTGAGACAGAGTTTTGTTCTTGTTGCCCAAGCTAGAGTGCAATGGTGCCATCTCAGCTCACTGCAACCTCCACCTGCCAGATTCAAGCGATTCTCCTGCCTCAGTCTCCCAAGTAGCTGGGATTACAGGCACATGCCACCATGCCCGGCTAATCTTTTTTTCGTATTTTTAGTAGAGATGGGGTTTCACCCTGTTGGCCAGGCTGGTCTTGAACTCCTGACCCTGGGTGATCCACCCACCTTGGCCTCCCAAAGGGATGGGATTACAGGCATGAGCCACCACTACTGGCCACTTTGTTAGAATTATACTTATGTATTTCATTTGATTAGTGTTAATATGAATGGTATTGTATTTTAATTTCAAATTCCAGTTGTTCACTGCTGGCATATGAAAAAGCAATTGACTTTTGTATATTAACTTTGTATTCTACACCTTGTCATAATCACTTATTAGTTCTTGGAGCCCTTTTTTTTGGGGGTCCTTGGGATTTTCTACATAAACAATTATGTTACCTGCAAACAAAGATATTCATCTTTATTTTTTATTTTATTTATTTATTTATTTATTTTGAGACAGAGTTTCACTCTTGTTACCCAGGCTGGAGTGCAACAGTGCGATCTCGGCTCACCGCAACCTCTGCCTCCTGGGTTCAGGCAATTCTCCTGCCTCAGCCTCCTGAATAATTGGGATTACAGGCACACGCCACCATGCCCAGCTAATTTTTTGTATTTTTAGTGGAGACGGGGTTTCACCATGTTGACCAGGATGGTCTCGATCTCTTGACCTCATGATCCACCCACCTAGGCCTCCCAAAGTGCTGGGATTACAGGCTTGAGCCACGGCGCCCAGCCATCATCTTTTTTTAAAAAATATATATATAGATGGGGCCTCACTACGTTGCCCAGCCTGATCTCGAATTCCTGGGCTCAAGCAATCTTCCTGCCTTGGCCTCTGAAAGTGCTGGGATTATAGGTGTGAGCCACCATGCTGAGCCTTCAACTGTTTTTGACCCATAAAAACAGTAATTTCAGGTCAGGTGCAGTGGCTCATGCCTGTAATCCCAGCATTTTGGAGGGGCTGAGGCAGGTGGAATCACCTGAGGTCAGGAGTTTGAGACTAGCCTGGCCAGCATGGCAAAACCCCGTCTCTCAT